AGCGCCTTTGTATATTCAATTAAAATAAAAACCAAATAGATAAAGCATCCTTCTTGTAGTCTCTGCGTTCAGCCAAGATCTATCTGCCACCAGCACTGATACCCGTTATTCCATGCTTTCTTCTGAATCTGTTTGAATTTCTGGTAATTCAACAGAATGTACTACGGCAACTGTTTTTCATTATCTTCAGCAAAAGTTTACTTGAGTATTACATGAATGACATTTTCCAATAAATTCTACATTTTTGTTTGATCCTCTTTTAAAAGAATGTCATATATTGATCTGTTTATGTTGATTATCATCATAGACCAATGAGTGTTTCTAGCATTGCATCCATTCTGTCAATCTCAAGAGATTTGTTTCTTGCCAGTGCCTTCAGGGCAGCTCAAGGAACTCTGGTGATGTAGTCCATAGAGGATTGACCTGCCAACCCAAAGTCTGAGCCTCTCTGGCAATTTGAATCCACCAGTTGCCTCTGTTGGAGAACGCTGGGCAATCTCCTCCATGCACTTTAGCCTCAGAAACCTAATGAAGGGTCAGCTCTGATTTGGTTCTGACTCAGTGTCAATGAGGTGAGTCAATATAGCTTGGACTTCTTCCTTAAGAACCTCAGACTCATGAATATAAACTACCTCTTAACATGGTTGGACATCAACCAATTATTTTTGGCTCAGTAACTCTGTATTCTTTCCATTTTCTTTTAAAGTCTCTCTTAAACATAGAGACTGCTTAATGAGTGTGCAACCTGTGCACACATGGCCCTATGCTAAGGGCCTATGCCTGGATTAATGTTCTGCTGTTATTCTCTTAAAGTCTTCATAATTTTTAAACAAGTGACTTGTATTATGTATCACACATTCTGTCATATATGAGAAGAGAAATATGTTGTTACACTGTTCTAAAAGCTAATAGTCTGAATTCAGGGAATCAGCGTTGTTAGTCACTTCTGTCCTGAGGCAGAAATTGTTCATGCCTCTCTTCTACATCTGACAACAGCCAATGATCCCTGATGTTCCTTAACTTATAGATCACTTAGATCTCTGGTTCTGTTTTCATATGGTTTTCTTTGGACATCATTCTGCACCATTCAGAATTCATCGGTTTAGAACCTACCCTATAGCAATATGACCTTGTTAATTGTTATTATCCTAAAAAACTCTTATTTCAAAACAAAGTCATATTCATAGGTATTAGTGATTAGAATTTCAACCTCTTGTACGGAAGACACAAATCAGCACAAAATAGGGTCTCTTATTTTCCTTTTGCACTGTTGTTATTGTTGTGTTGTTATGTGTCGTCGAGTAGCTTGCAACTCATAGCGACCCTATGTTTGTTCTCTTAGCAGTCCATGGCACCTTCAGCACTCTTCTCCAACACCAAAGCTCAAAAGCATCAATTCTCCTTCTATACTCCTTGGTCATTGTCCAACTCTCTGATGCATAACAAGTGATTGCAAAGACCATGGCCTGTACTAGACGCACCTTTGTCTCCAGAGACACACCGTTGCTCTTGCGTACTTTAGAGAGGTCCCTAACAGCAGACTTTCCCATGGCAATATGTCTTTTAATTTACTGGCTGCTGGTGCCAAGAGCGTTAGCAAATTATGTAACATAGTCATAAATTAATAAATACATAAAGATGTATATAAATAAATATGTATTGATTTTATACAATATTATTAATGTAATATCTTGAACTTTTGTCAGTATAAACAAATATATTAGTTCCAGTATTTTAGAAATGAGTATCAAAATATCTTGTATACTAAGCTAAAAGAAAACATTGCTTACATTCTAAAAAGCAAAACTTACTGGAATCTCATTTCCTGATTTTAATGCGGTAAAATTGTAAAGTTTGTATATTTGTTTTAAACCAGAAAACTCCATTTAGGAAATTATGTAAATAATCTAGGTATCAAAAATTTTGTGATGTGGCCAAAATAATATGATTATGTACATATGAGCACACATACATGCATAATGTGATGAAAGAGAAATAGAACTAAGAAAAATAACATTAAGTATTACGGATGAGAAGAGCAAGATAATTAATGAGTAAATCTAAGAAATAGTATTGTGCAAAAGATAGGTCCCTAAAAAAATCTAATCAAGAAGAAAACAAACAAACAAAAAGAGTGAAAATAGATTCTCCATTTAATCCATATAGTCACAGGTATGCAGATTTTTTAAAATGAAAATAAAAATTTGTATTCTCTACATAAATACATTAGGAAATCTATATGAAATTTCCAAAATTCAGGGGAAAGGTTCTAAATTCATATAAATCAAATACTGAGAAATAAAATGAGAAAATTATCAAATAACTATTCCAGAAGGTTCTGGGGCTTGTATGTCTAATATTTTAAACTTATAAGATGCAATGTGAGAGAAAGATGGCCAATCTCTTCTCATACAGTTAATGGCCTCTGAAAACCTGCTGGAAGGTTAGCTATAGTTGGTTCCAATTTAATGGTAAACAGCAACAACAACATAAGACACAAGTAATTACCATGCTGGAAGGCTCAGAAAAATTGGAAACTATTGTCCTAGTATTGGATGGTAAACACACAACACAGACATACACAAATATTACACACCCACTAGATTTGTCATAGCATCAGTTATAGTAATTAATAATGAGGGGGAAAACTAATGTCTAAAAGTAAAATATGATCCATCTAAGTAATGGGTATCACAATGTTTATGAAAAATATTTACATATATGGTATTATAATGAAATGTACAAAGAGTCAGACGAAGGAGCCAAACTCAGAATTTTTTCTTTTTTTTTTTTTAGATTATAGTGAAAGTTTATAAAGATTTTGGATTCCCATTTATTCATTGTTGTACATTTTCCTCACTGTCCCCTTGCCGCCACCCCTAGTTCACTTCTTCCTTTGGAAAAAAGTTCTTTCATTGTTATACAGTCCCCTTGACCCTCAACCACTTAACTATGCAACTCTTATTCTGGACTCTAGTCATGCCAATAATACCTAATCATACATTCCTTTTATACAGTTCTCTCCCTTGTCTGCAGCGTTTCTTAAGCTGAAGGAACTGAAGAACAAATTCAAGCCTCGAGTTGCAATACTTAAGGATACTTTGGTCAGAATATTAAATGATCCAGGAAGCATTAAAAGAAGATAGAAGTAGTATACAAAGGCACTGTACCAAAAAGAAATTGGCTGACACAGAAGAATTTGATGAAACAACGTATAAGCAAGAGCTTATGGTGATGAAGGAAGAAGTTCAAACTACTCTGAAGGAATTGGCAAAAACTAAGGTCTCAGGAATTGATACCAATTGACATATTTTAACAAACAGACACTATCCTGAATGCACTCACCAAGTTGTGCCAAGAAACCTGGAGGACAAACACTTGGCCAACTGATTGGAAGAAATCTGTATTTGTTCCCATTCCAAAAGAAGGTGACCCGGCAGAGTATGGAAATTATTGAACAGTATCACTGATAACATGTGCAAGCTGGAACAGCACATCAACAGAAAATTGCCAGAAGTGCAGGCTCAGTTTAAAAGAGGTTGTGGTTCTAGTACTATTATAGATAATGTTAGATGGGTCTTGGCTGAAAGCAGGGAGTACCAGAGGAATGTCTATCTGTATTTCATTGATTTTGCAAAGGCATTTGACTGTGTGGATCACAACAAACTGTGGCTAACTCTGAGAAGAATGGAAATCCCAGAACACTTGATTGTGCTTATATGAAACCTATACTTGGACTCAGAGGCAGTCATCAGAACAGAGCAAGGAAACAGTGCATAGTTCAAAATCAGGAAAGGTGTATGCCAGAGATGTATCCCATCTCCATATATTTTCAATCTATATGTGGAAACAGATAATTTAGGAGGTTGGGCTCTATGAGGAGAAATGTGGCACTAATACTGGAGGAAGAAGACTCAAAAACAATCTGTGTTTTGCAGATGACACAACCTTGCTTGCTGAAACTGAGGAGGACCTGAAGTGCTTACTGCAGCCTTCAGTACAGACTAAAGCTCAAGAAAACAAAAACAAAAATTTTCACCACTGGACCGATTGGCAGCATCATGGTAGATGATGAAGAGATTGAGTTTGTTAACAGCTTTAGTTTGCTTGATTCCACAGTCAACACTCTTGGTACCAGCAGCCAGGAAATTAAAAGATGAACTGCATTGGGAAATTCTGCTATCAGGGACTTCTCCAGAGTACTGAAGAGCAACGATGTCAGTCTGGATACTAAGGTGCACCTGATCCAGGCCATGGCCTTCACAATTACGTGCTGCACTTCAGAAAGCTGGACAATGACTAGAGATGATAGAATGAAAATTGATGCCTTTGAGCTGTGGTGCTGGTGAAAAATATAGACTATATCATGGACTGCTAAGAGAACAAACAAGTTTGTCTGGAGAGGTTGAAACCAGTCTGCTCCTTGGAGGCAAGGATTCTGAAGCTCCATCTGACATACTTTGGTCATGTTGCAAGGAGGAACCAGTCCTTGGAGAAGGACATTATGCTTTGGAGGGAGGAGGGACAGCACAAGAGAGGAAGACGCTCAATGAGACGGATTGACTCAGTAACTGGGGAAATGGCAGTAGGTCTGTCAAGGAAAATAAGGTTGACTCAGGATAGAGCAGGTTTCAGAGCTATTGTACATAGGGTCACTATGAGTCACAGATGACTTGATGGCACATAATGCACACAAAGTACATTGAAATATTAAAAAATAAAAACACTGGTTAACACTTAGCAAAAACTCACAGGTTATTTCTGAGTTACATCGTGGGCCATTTTCCCTTCTTTATATCCATTTCAATAGGTCAAAATTCAGATCTGTTCTTCATACGGTTGCTATGAGTTATAGTCAACTTGATGACACCTAACAACAGCAATATTCATTGCTGTCTTCTTCATAGTTTCTATTGAACATGTAGCATATTCATAATTAAATTTACATGAATGTTTATTGACACAGTTCTTTTCTCTTCTAACCACTTCTTTTTGTTAAGGCTAACCTGGCAAAGCAAGAGGGCCGCTTAGCAGTCGCTAATGCTGAGTTAGGGAAGGCGCAGGCACTGCTGGACGAGAAGCAAGCCGAGCTGGATAAAGTACAGGCAAAATTTGATTCGGCAATGAATGAGAAAATGGTGAGATTGAATATGTGAAACCATCAAATAATGAACTTCTATAGAAGTATGTGTTGTATTTAGGAACTAAACAGACATTCTTGGTGAAATTATAGACCTGAGCCTTATTGTACTACCTATAACTGCCTGTTCTGACCCTGGACACTTCAAAATGCATTCTTGTGTTTTCTAATATTTAAGTGTTTATAAAAGTAAGCTATGACAATGCAACTCGATGGCACATAACAGCAACAACCACATGACAACGTAAAGGCTACTGGGTTTAGAGTTTTAAAATGGGATTTGATATCTAGCTCAGTTATTTATTTAGTGTGTCATTTAGGAAAAGTGACTTCATCTATAAAGTGGGGAGTCAGTAATATATCAGTTTGTGTTCTGTGGTGACTTATGTGTTACTGTTACTGGAAGCTAAGCCACCTGTATTTCACGTATTTACTGGGTCTCTCATAGTGCGTAGATTTTAGTGGAACTTGTAGACAATGACAGTGGTGATCCACTTCTGGAATAATTGGCCCATGAAAACTTCTGTGAAAAGTTTTCATAAAAGTCTGACATTCTCTTGGGGAGCTCTGGTGGCCTAGTGTCAAGAAGCTGCACTGTAATCCCAGAGGCGCACAGTTCGAACCCACCAGATGCACTGCCGGGAAAGGAGGGACAATCTCCTCCTGTACCATTCAGATCCGATTTGACGGTATACACACACACACACACACACACACACACACACATAAAATAATAAAAATTTTTTTTTTAAAAAAAAGTCTGACATTCTCTAAATAGATGAGACCCTCAAGTTGAAAGGTGCCCAAAATAAGGTAAGGGTTGGGGGAAATACAAGTAAGGGAGAGCTGCTTCAGTAAAATAGAATCTGCCTTAATGACGTGGGTTGAGTAAAGCTTTCAAGGCCTCCATTTGCTAACATGACATGACTGAAAAGGAAAAGAAACAGCTGCAAATGCCCTCTAGTAAATGGAACATGGAAGTATTATGGGTCTAGGAAAATTGGAAATGGTAAAAAAATGAAATGGAACATATCAAGATTGATATCCTAGGTGTTGATGAGCTGAACTAGATCGGTATTGTCCAATCTCATTTGGATAATCATGTGGTCTACTATACTAGGAATGAGCCCTGGTGGCCTAATGGTGAGAAGCGAAGGCTGCAATCCCAAAGGCATGCAGTTCAAATCCACCAGCTGCTGCATGGGAGAAGGATGGACAGTCTCCTCCCATTCAATTAACTGCCCCTGAAAACCTATTGGAAGGTCATCTGTGAGTCAGTTTCAACTTGATGGGACACAACAACTGTGCTAGGATTGATAAATTGAAGAGGAATGACTAAGTTCATCATCAAAAAGAACATTTCAATATCTATCCTGAAGTAGATAGAAATGATACTTATACAAGGAAGACCTGTTAATATGACCATCATAGATTGAATCATATCTCCGGCCCTCACCACCAAAATACAAATACCATGTGTAACAACCAACCCACATTATTGGAAAATGTAATAATTGGTTCTTGTAAACTTATTTGAAATGATTCTCATGCATGTCTGCCTTTGAGTTTTCTGGGAATAAATGCTTTTTAGATTATAAACAACTCAGAATTACCATCAAATCTAATATTTAAATGCACTGATAAAATGTGCAAATTATGCGGTAATCCCCTATGAAAGGATAAGCCAAAAAGCTGTAAAAAGATTAAGGGTGGGATGCACTATCCCTTAATACCATCACAGACCTGAATGGTGGAAGGGAAGTTTCCCAAGCGGGGCCTATAAAGCCTTTGTCACTAGAGAGACAAGTGAGCCAGAGTAGGGACCTTCTGCTGGGTTTGCAGAGGCAGTAAATCACAAAGGAGGAGATTGCCCATCCTTTTCCAGTGGAGCAGCTGGTGGATTTGAACCACCTGCCTTTGGGATTGCAGCACAGTTTACCACTAGGCCACCCCTTTGTGTAATCTCTGTTATAGCTATTGTTGCTATTGTGTACTGTCGAGACAGAACTAACTCATAGCTGAACTTCCCTTGGGTTTTCAGAGGCAAAAATTGCATGGGAGGAGATTGCCCATCTTTCTCCTGAGGAGCAGTGGTGGATTTGTCAACAATATTTTGTTGTTAATATGCTAGCGAGTCTGAACCCACTCATGGGTGACCCTCCAGTGGGTTTTCAGAAGCAGTGAATCACACAGGAGGAGATTGCCCATTTTTCTCTTATGGAGCTGCTGGTGAATTTGAACCAGATTCCTTTGTGTTGGAAGTGAAACTCCTTATCACTAAAGCTGCCTTAAAAAAAGAGGCTGTAAACAGTGGTACAGGTAGTCAGTATTCAATAACTGGCTCCTAGTGAAGAGGCTAGGTTTATGTGTTTGCTTATCTCTGTGGTTTAACTACTCCCACCACTGCAGATTGATTTCAAGCTGTCAGTGTAGTCATAGAATGCAAAGTTGGAAACAGATGCACAAGAGAATACTTTATGTAGTATTTTCACCATGCAAATTTAATAGGTTTAAAGATACCCAAGGGTAGACAAAACCAAAAAAACCTTACCACGAAGTCAAACTCATAGCAACCATATCGGACAGAGCAGAAGTGCCGTATAGAGGAACTAAGGAATAGTTATGAAAACAGAGAGCTGCCTCTTTCTCTTGCACAACTGGTGTGTTCTGCATAGAGACCTTTTGTTTAGCAGGCTAATGTAACCACTGTGCCACGAAGTTCATTCTCAAGGGCATAGATAATAGTAAAGATTTTCAAAGTGATGAGTTCTGAATTTTTATTTCCTTTAAAAATAGAGTATGTTTAAGTTTACATATACAATTTTAAATAACGCCTATGTGTAAGAACCAACCCACATTTTCAGAAAATGTAATGGTTGATCTTATAAACGTACTTGAAATGACTCTCATGTACAACCACTTGAAAGTTTTCTGGGAATAAATGCTTTTGAGCCTGCAAAGAACTCAGGATTACTATTAAATATAATATTTAAAGTGATGAATTTTAAAGGTGTGATTCTGTTTTTTTCTTTTTTTTGTTTGATTCTCTTTTGAGAAACAACTTAAGAAATGTAGTGTAATTTATGTTATATGGATTATCTCATACAATTGTTTTTCCTGAAATTTCATAAGGCAAAATAATTACATTATGATATGAGTTTATAACAGTTTCACTCCTTCTATTTTTAAATTTATTTTGAAAATTCAGCTAGCTTTAGGGTATTTTTATGTGTGAGTGTAAATAGTTCCTTGATTAAGCATTCAAGAAAGCTCTCTGAGACATTATCACTTTATGAATGTAGGATTTGCTTAATGATGCTGACATGTGCCGGAAAAAGATGCAGGCAGCTTCCACTCTCATCGATGGGCTGAGCGGAGAAAAGGTTCGATGGACTCAGCAGAGTAAAGAGTTCAAAGCACAGATTAATAGGTACAAATCTTAGTCCTTTTTAGAGTGTATTAGTTCTCCTCCTTAGTCATCACTCCAAATGCCAATCTCTTTGAGACATTCAAACTGGGTTTATGAAGCTGTAGCTCTTTCTCCCACAGAGAGATGGTTTCGAACTGCCAGAAAAGCTTGGCCTTTTGGCTAGCAGCACAGCACTCTGTGGACAGAAAATCCATTACCATCATGACGTGCTTTTTCCTTCATGCCCATCTCTGAATCCCATCATCTAAGAAAGTGCTTACACCTAAGAAAACACTTAAAGCTTAAATCACACACTCGGTAAAACAGCAAATGAATGGATTTTCTAGAAACATTTTTTCAAATCTCCTTTTGGGTTCAACATTGTGGCTTTCCAGTATGAGGGTGTTTCTGAAATTGTTTCACTTTGTCGTAGCAATTTAAATACTTATTCCCATTCTTTACTGTTCATGTCAATGATTTTAAGTACCACAGACCAAAGGCTCATTCTGAATACAGGGGTATCTTGTGCTGATGTTTGTTGATTTTCTCAGAATATTTAAAGAGAGGGAAACAGAAGAGTAGGAAAATGATCAAAGAGTAGGAAAATGATAAAAAAGGGATATATTTAGTCTTATTGGATGTTGCTTCACTGTGTGGTTAATAAGCTAATCAAGACTTTAATTTTTCTAATTAACACATAATAGACACTTTAATAGCACAATTTAAACACTTTTTTTTAAATACTAGTGCTGAATCTCAACAGGGCTGATATAACCATGAATGGGCAGAGGATACATTTAGGCATTAATAGCTTTCTTCATAGGCCCCTGACCTGCCCCAAATATACCTACTCCATCTGGCCTCGCTTTTTTGTTTTAAGTCTTTGCATCTCTGGTTACAAAGCATTATTAATCAGACAGCAAACAAAGATTTCTTCTGGTAACCAAACAAAAATAGTATTGCACTGTGACTTTTCAAACAGCATAGTAGAATAATATAAAAAATATATCTGAAAACTCACTTTGGGGAGGGGGTCTTGTCTATTTTTTTTTCCTTAACAGACTTGTAGGAGATATTCTGCTGTGCACTGGATTCCTTTCCTACCTGGGTCCTTTCAATCAGATATTTAGGAATCTTCTGCTTAAAGATCAATGGGAGATGGAACTGAGATCTAGGAGGATTCCTTTCACTGAAAACTTGAATATTATTTCAATGTTGGTGGATCCTCCAACAGTAAGTTTTAGCTTAATAACATAAGCAAGTTAATAGCTTTAGTAATGTCTCAGTATTGCATTTGGAACATCCACTGTCAGGGACCTTTCCAAATTACTGAGGAGCAGTGATGTCATTTAGAAGACTAAGGTGCACTTGTTCTAGGTTATAGTCTTTTTTGCTATGCATCTGAGAACTGGACAGGGAATAAAGATGACAAAAGAAGAAATGGTGCCTTTGAGATGTGGTGTTGGAGAAGAGCACTGAATATCTCATGGGCTGCCAAAAAACAAACTGGTATGTCTTGGAACAACTACAGCCTGAATGCTCCTTGGAGGCAAGGATGTCAAAGCTCCATCTTATATACTTTGGGCATGTTGTTGTTATTAGGTGCTGTCAAGTTGAGTATGACTCATATTGACCCTATGAACAACAGATCTGAATCCTGTCCTGTCTTGGGTCATTCTCACCATCTCTGATACATGTTTTTTAGGAGGGGCTATTCCTTGGAAAGGGATATCATGCTTGTACAGACGAACATCATGCTTGGGAAAATGCTTTCTTTGTTCCTCCCTTACTCTCCCAGAAAGGAGAGAAAACAGAAAAGGAGAATTTTCTTTGTGGTCTGCAGGTTCTTTTATATTTTCAAAGTAAAACTGATCATCCTGTTGTGGACTGAAAGCACACTCTTGAGCTGTGGGCTTGCTGTTACTGAGCTCTTTGTGTACACCAGTCCTGTGACACTGGACTCTCTTCAAATGTTTTCGGCAAATGTAGGCCTTGCCTAGGTCAGAAGTGTCCATATTAACCTGTTTATGATCATTGGCTGTCTCTTTTAATATCCAATAAAATAGTGCTATCTGTTGCATTATGTTGAACAGCATAATGTTTCAGTATTACTGTGTGACAGTCACTATGCTCCCCTTCCTTGTGGAGCATTGGGTGGCATCACCTATTTTCAGTATATCTTACAGAACTCATGTAGTTAATAAATGCTTCCCAGGCAATTTGTATTCATGAGCTGCTTGCCTGATTTGTAAATAAGCTCCCCACTTGCTATTTCCTTAGGGATGCCAAGGTATTAATTTCACGTTATCTGTACTTAACAGTTAAAATGCAGTCTTTTCCAACTCAAACAATGTTGAATCTTTCCCTTATAGGGAAATAGATTTTGTGTGGGAGATGCGCTGGACCCTGGCGAAGCAAAGTAGGCAGGGTATTCTTTATTAATTATGGCCTTTGGAGGTCCTAGAGGTAATTTAATGGAGGTAAGGGCTTGTTGGCTCCTTGGATAGGAGGTAATTTTATTGACTATGTGGAGGGAAGTTGGCAACCCCACTGTCAATTTGGAGGAGGAAACATTCACAAAAATTTCGTTATATTGATGATCTCCTGCCAATGTAATTCTCATTTAATCTAATTTCTCTGCCTTTAGTTCTACATTCATCTTTTATCCCATAGAAGCAGAGCCAAAGGGCAGGGATGGATGTTTTAGGGCTTGTTCCTGAGAGTATATCTTATTCTCCAACATCTCATTATAATCATTACTTCACTACATGCAACCAATCTGGATCCCTTCACCCACTCAGTCCCACCACATTTTAAACCTTCCTGTTCTCTAAATGCCCAGCAACCAACATCTCTAAATCAGGTTCAATATGCATTGCTTTGTAACGTTCCCTCCTAAGTGTGAAAGTTCAATGCAAAGAGCTACTTAACTCCAGTCTTGGGTTATTAAGAAAAGGATTCATTAGATCACAGACTTTTTTTTCCAAGTTAATGTTAATTTAGTTCACTTTTATTAGTTTTATTCCACCTCACCCCAGGTACAAGGTCCCATTTATGTAACTTCAACAGAAAATTTAAAAACATCCAATTTTTATATTATTTTTATTTGTAATACTTTTAATTATTCGAGAAAGCATTCTTGTTCTTTCAGTGGCCCTCTTGATTTCTTCTTATTCAGATTGGTGAGTGGGGGCTGCAGGGATTACCAGGTGATGACCTCTCCATTCAAAATGGGATTATTGTGACAAAGGCCACCAGGTACCCACTCCTGATAGACCCGCAGACTCAAGGCAAAACTTGGATTAAATCAAAGGAAAAAGAAAATGATTTGCAGGTATGTACCAGTTGGTGCATGGAAAAGTAATATTAAAATCATGAAATCTCCCCCAAATTTCAATTGAATCTGTCAGTCGTAAAGTTGTCATCTCTACGATAAATGCTTTCTAATTTACATATTTGAGTTTCCAAACAGCAAATTGGCACAAAAGCTCTGATTAATTTTTCTGTTTAGTACTCCCTCTTGCTTTTCTCCTTCCTTTCTTTGGCTCCACTGCTTTTGCCAATTTAGATGTGCCTTTTGTTCTGGAACATGGGCATGGGGTTATAGGAAAACAACAACAGAATTTCATCTTGCCGTTGTTCAAGTCATTTGCACCAATGTAGCATAGACCTTTGATATTACATAGCATACTTGTCCAGTTATTGGAGTTTAAGTCTTATAAGGTGAAGTAGAGTGTCACACAGTAGCCTCAACAGTGGACTTGAAGCATTCTTGTCACTTATACTAGTGACTCAGCTTTTTATTCTTTTGTCATAAGGTCTCTGTGAGTCACAGTGAACTCGATGACATCTAACAACAACAATGTATTAATTTGATGTGTTTACTATATAGTTTCCTGGCTTCCATCTTGAAGATATCCTTGAGGATGCAGATAAATAAAGTAGGATTCCAACCTCCTGGCTCATGGAGATTGTTCTACCATTGATATTTACCACTGAAATATACTATTTCTGTTTCTATTAATTTACCAGCTGCACTGCAATCCCAAAGACATATGGTTCTAACCCACCAGCTGTTGCCAGTGGGAGAAGAATAGGCAATCTCTTCTCATGTGATTTACTTCCTCTGAAAACCCACTGGAGGGTCAGCTGTGGGTTGTTTGCAACTCAGTGGTGTACAATAACACCACCACTCACTGTTTCCTATCTACTCCTCTCAGAGTTTTAAGCATTGTGCCCCTGTGTTTTTGCTTATGCTATTTCTACTAACAAGAATCCCTCTTCCATTTTACTAGCCAGCCAATTTATATTCCTTATTAAAATCTCAACTATTTCTTCAAAATCCCCATTCAGTACTATCTGCATCATGACTTTCAAGTGTCTTGTTGAAGTCCATCCTAAAGGCTCCCAGTGTCCAGTGTCTTGTTTGTGTTGTGGGCTTGAATTCTGTCTTGAGTTTTTATTCTTTGCACATTTACCTTTATCTCTACTGCCCCATAAACTTCTTGTGGATTGAAATGATAGTTGTAGTCATCTTTTTGTTTCTTTATTTACACAGTCCTTGATTTAAAGTAGGAATTCAATGATTTAATTAGTTTAGATGAATAAAGTCATGTGGTTGTCTTGATAAGTATAGAAGAAGAATTTAGTAAAATTAAATACCTACTAATGATACTTCCATACCTTTTCAATCTGTCTGCAGAACAGATTATTCGGGGGGCTGGGCTATATGAGCAGGAATATAGCATTGGGATTGGAGAAGATTCATGAACAACTTACATTATGCAGATAGCACAACCTTGCTTGCTGAAACGGAGGAAGACCTGAAGCGGTTGGTGCAGAAAGTCAAGGACTGTAGTCTTCAATATGTACTAAAGTATAACATAAAGAAGACAAAAATTCTCACCACTGAGACAAATTGGTAGCACCATGATAATTTTAGAAAAGATTGAAGTTGTTAACAATCAGTTTGCTGGGCTACACAATCAACACTCTTGGCACCAGCAGTCAGGAAATCAGAAGACAGATTGCATTAGGTAAATCTGCTGTCAGATAACTTTCCAGATTACTGAGAAATAATGATGTCAGTCTAGCGACTAAGGTGTGCCTGATACAGACCACGGTCTTTATAATTACTTGCTATGCATCAGAAAGCTGGATAATGATTAAGAATAACAAAAAAAGAATTGCCTTTGAGTTGTGGTGCTGGAGATGAGTCTTGAACATAAATTGGACTACCAAGAAAACAAATAGGTCTGTTCTGGAGAGAGTGAAACCAAGTTTCTCCTTGGAGGCTAAAATTTTGAAGTTCTGTCTCACATACTTTGGGCACGTGGCCAGGAGGGACCAGTCCTTGGAGAAGGACATCATGCTCAGAAAGGTGGAGGGACAACACAGGAAAGGAAGACTCCGAATGAGATGGATTGATGCAGTAACTGGGGCTATGTAGGTCGCTGTGTCTGAGTCAGTAAAACTGGTTTAGAACAGGCATGCTTGAGAGTTGTTGTACATAGGGTTGCTATGAATTGCAGGAAATTCTACAGCACATAACAACCACAAAAACAACTCATGATAAAATTTCTAGCAATTATTATGACAGGAGACATTTCCTTCATCAGATAAAAATGATTTAAAAACATTAACAGCAAACAAGAGAAGGAAATAAAAAGCATCTGGATATGCAGATGATATGACACACAGAAAACTCCAAGGTCTCAATAAAAAAACTTAGAACTAGTGGACCAGTTTAGTTGGATTGCAAGATACAAGATCAATTAAAAAAAAAACACAACAACAACAACAAAAAAAAGCAACAAACCAGTGGGATTTCTTTGCAGTAACAAAGAGAACTCGGAGAAGGAAACCAAGAAAGCAATATCATTTATAGTAGTCAACCACAAATTGAGATACTTGGGAATGAACCTAACTAAAGACACAAAAGACCTGTACAAAGAAAACTACAGAACATTTCTGCAAGATACAATAAAAGACTTAAAGAAATAGGAAAACTTCCCCTGTTCATAGATAGGAAGACTCAAGATCATGAAAATGACAGTCTTATCAAAAGCAATCTATATGTTCAGTACCATCCCAATGCAGATACCATACTCATTTTTCAAGGAGATTGAAAGGGGAAACTGTCAAATTTATTTGGAGAGGAAAGAGATCAAGAATAAGCAAAGAACTTCTGAAAAACAAAAATGAAGGGGGAGACATAGCACTCCCTGACCTCAAAACTTGCTACACGACAGTAGTAAAGAAAAGAGCATGGTACTGGTACCATGAAAGGCACATAGACCAATGGAACAGAACTGAGAACCCAGAAATGGACCCATCTGTCTGGTCAGCTGGTATTCGACAAGGAAATAAAACCTTTCAAATGGGAAAATGAAGACCTCTTCAACAAATGGTGCTGGCAAGACTGGACTGCTACCTGCAGAGAGATGAAACAGGATCCACATCTCACACCACACTAAAAAATTAACTCAAGGTAGATCTAAGACCTGAGAGGAAAACCCCAAACCACAATGCTCATCAGAGACAAACTGGCACCAGGTTTAGAAGGCTTAGCCTGTGGTACAAAGAGACTGCCAAATAGAGCCCAAAATGCACAGTTTGGAGAGGATAAAATTGACGGGTGGACTTTCTAAAGATGTAATCTCTGCTCATCAAAAACTTTTTCCATTAGGATGAAAAGAAAGCATAACCACTGACAAACATTTGGCAACAGCACCTTAGACAAGGGTCCCATAACATGTTTACAGAATACACCTGGACTTTCAGAAGAAAAAGACTGATAACACAATTACAAAACTGTCAAAACATGGAAAGACCTTTCACAGAGGAAGACATTCAGGTGGCCAACAGACACATGAAATGCTCAAAATCACTGGCAATAAGAGAGATGCAAATCAAAACCACAATGAGATACCATCTTACCCAGTAACTGTGGCAAATTGTAGTAGGGCAGCAAGCAATAAATGTTGGAGAGAAAGTGGAGATGTGGGAACTCTCAAACATTGTTGGAAGGATTGTAAAACGGTGCAACCTCTCTGGAAGAATATTTGACATTTCCTCAAAAAGCTGAACATAGAAACTCCATATGACCCAGCTATTCCACGACTAGGAATATTCCCCAAGGAGATTAGAACTGAGACACAAATGGAGATTTGTACACCAATGTTCATAGCAGCTTTATTCACCATTGCAAGAATATGGAACCAGTCCAAATGTCCAACCACAACCAAATGGATTGAGAAATTGTGGTACATTCACACAATGCAATACTATGCAGCACTCAGGAGCAACGATTTAAAAAAATACCACTTAACTTGGGAGAGGCTGGAGAGTATCATGCCAAGTGAACTAACTCAGTCTCATAAGGACAAATACTACATAAGACCATTATTGTAAAAATAGATAAGTATTAAAACATGTACGGGAAATAGAATAACTTTTAAAACATGTAAGGGTATCGCAGAAGGGTGAGGATAGATAGTGGCGAAACCACAAGGGTTGCACAGTTTGGTGGATGGAGTGTGTGGGGGGGGGGAACGTAGAAAATAGGAAGGATCTGGGTGAAAAGACAGGATAATGATGGGTAAGGTCCAATGGTGATTAATTTTATAAAACATAATTCATGAGTGATTGTGTGAAACACAATGTGAATGAAGAATAGTGTGAAACACAATGCATATGAACTTTATAAGCAAACCAATAATTTAAAAACGCTTACAGAAATCTATAAAGGGAAAGAAATAAAAGGTCTGTAAGGATTAGAGTGACCCTAAAAAAACCATAACTGCCAACGAGGCAGATATATGCACACCCATGTTTATTGCGGCTCTGTTTACAATAGCAAAGAGTTGGAAACAACCTAAGTGCCCATCAACAAACGAATGAATAGAGAAGCTGTGGTATATTCACACAATGGAATACTATGCTGCATTGAAAAACAAGGAACTCATGCCATATTATTCAAAATGGGTGACCCTGGAGGACATTGTGCTGAGTGAAATATTTCATTCACAAAAGGACAAATACTGCAGTTAGAATCCACCAGATGCTCTGCCGGGGAAGGAGGGACAATCTCCTCCTGTACCAGTCAGATCCGATTTGACAGTACACGCACATAAAAGAATTTAAAAAAAATTATAAAAAAAAAAGACAAATATTACATAGTGCCACTGTTATAGAACAGGACTGACATCAGGGTTGGGGTGAGACTGAGAGAGATGGGATAAATTATCTATACTGCATTGAAACAGATGAGGGAAGAGAACTGTTTAAAAGTAATATGTGAAGAGAGCTCTGGTGGCCTAGTGGTAAGGAGCTGCAACTACAATCCCAGAGGCGT